GCTCAATTTATTATCTGTCAGCCAGCTTACTGATGCTGGTTGTATTGTGAGTTTTACTGATCGCTCTTGTTTTGTGCAGGATCGTTCGAGTGGCAGGATGATTGGCAAGGGCAGTAGGAATGGCAGGTTATACACTATGCAGTCTCTCCACCTTCCAACCACCTCCACTTCCTCTCCTCATCCCGTGCTAGCGACTGTGGATCTTGCGCGGTGGCATCAACGTCTACGGCACGCTTCCTCTTCTCGCCTTTCTATCCTTCAACAACAGGGGGTTCTTGGCCCTGTCCCATCTGGTGCTTTACCTCCTTGTTCTGTCTGTCCTTTAGCAAAGCAATCTGCTCTGCCTTTTCCTACGAGTACTTCTAGTTCTAGTGCTATTTTTGATCTTGTTCATTCTGATGTATGGGGCCCTGCCCCTGTTCCATCCAAGAGTGGTTTCAAATATGATGTTTCGTTTATTGACGATTATTCTCGTTATACTTGGGTCTATCTTATGCGTCAGCGTAGTGATTTTCTTACCATTTATCAGACTTTTACTGCCATGATATCTACACAATTTCAAAAGAAAATCAAAGTTTTTCGCTCTGACTCCGGGGGGGAATATCTTTCGGGTGCCTTTTGTTCTCTCTTAGTTAGTGATGGGACATTGCCACAACTTTCCTGTCCTGGTGTCCCAGCTCAAAATGGGGTTGCTGAACGTAAGCATCGACATCTTCTTGAAAACACTCGTGCTCTTTTACTTTCCACTTTCCACTTCAGTTCCTACTGAGTTCTGGGTTGAGGCTCTTCTTACTGCGGTTCATCTTATTAACCGCCTTCCCTCACCTGTTCTCCATCAGGATACACCCTTTCAGTGACTTCATTCTTATTCTCCTACCTATACACATCTTCGAGTTTTTGGATGTATGTGTTTCGTGCTTCTCCCTCCCACTGAACATACGAAGTTGACTGCTCGATCCATATCATGTGCATTCTTAGGCTACAGCACTAAGCACAAGGGATATCGTTGTTACGATCCGATTACTCAGCGCATACGTATCTCTCGTAATGTCACTTTTCATGAGCATGTTCCTTACTTCTCTACTAACACTATGCCTTTAGTGTCTACTCCTATTCCTTTTATGTACTTTCCGGCTGATCCTTGTCCTAACCCACCTCCTACTTCTGCTTCTCCTCCTCTAAATATACCTGACCCTCCTTCTCCGTCTAAGCTACCTCCCGCTAGTGCCCCTCCTGTTCCCTCTGCCACCAATGATTCTGCCACCGACGATTCTGCCCCTCTAGAGCTACGTCGTAAACCTCCTCGGGATCGTCGCCCCCTGCTCGGTATGTTGCTGTTGCTTCTTATTCTGCTGAGTTTGGTTCCTTTTTGGCTGCTGTCCATGATGTGCAGGAACCTACTAGTTACCGCGAGGCAGTTCAACATGCTGAGTGGCGTCAGGCCATGGCTAAGGAACTTTCTGCATTACAGAGTTCTAGTACTTGGGAACTTCTTCCTCTTCCACCAGGTCGATCCTTAATTTCTTGTCGTTGGATCTATAAAGTAAAGAATCGTTCTGATGGTAGTATTGAGCGCTACAAGGCGAGTTTAGTTGCGCGAGGTTTCTCACAGGAATATGGCATTGACTATGAAGAGACTTTTGCTCCGGTAGCAAAGATGACTTCTGTTCGTACTCTTTTAGCTGTTGCTTCTATTCGCAACTGGCCTCTCTATCAGCTCGATGTGAAGAATGCTTTTCTTCACGGGGATCTTCAGGAGGAAATCTTTATGCAGCCACCACCTGGTCTTGCTCACGCCCCTGGTCAGGTTTGTCGTCTTCGACGGGCTCTTTATGGCCTCAAACAAGCACCACGTGCTTGGTTTGAGAAGTTTACCACTGCTATGCGTTCTGCGGACTTTGTTCAGAGTGAGGCTGATCATGCTATATTTGTTCATATTTCGTCTTCTCGCTATACTATCATTCTTCTTTATGTGGATGACATGGTCATTACCGGCAGTGACTCTGATTATATTGCACATACCAAGAGGCATCTTCAGCAACATTTTTCCATGAAGGATCTTGGTCCATTGCGTTATTTTCTCGGACTTGAGATTGCTCGTAGTTCCCGTGGTATTCTTCTCTCTCAGCAGAAGTATACCGCCGATATTCTTTCCAGGGCTGCCCTTTCTGATTCTCGTACTGCGGTCACTCCTATTGAGTTGAATCAGAAGCTTCGCTCTAACGACGGGTAGCCTCTTTCTGATGTGACTCGTTATCGAACTCTGGTCGGTAGCCTTGTGTATCTCACTATTTCGCGACCTGATATTGCTTATGCAGTTCATGTTGTCAGTCAATTTGTTGCTGCCCCTCGGTCTACTCATTATGTTGCTCTTTTGCAGATCTTGCGATACCTTTGGGGTACTTCGACGCGGTCCTTGTTTTTGCCGTCTTCTTCTCCTCTCGAGTTACGTGCTTATTCAGATGCTGACTGGGCTTCTGATGTAACTGATCGTCGATCCATCACGGGATTCTGCATTTTCCTTGGTGATTCTCTCATTTCTTGGCGCGCCAAGAAACAACAGATTGTCTTGCGCTCCTCTACTGAGTCTGAGTATCGTGCTATGGCTGATACTACTGTTGAGATTGTCTGGTTTCGTCGTTTACTTGCTGACATGGGCATCTCGGTTCAAGATCCCACTCCTCTATATTGTGACAACAAAAGTGCTATTCATATTGGGGCTAATCCTATTTTTCATGAACGCACCAAACATATTGAGATTGACTGCCATCTTACTCGTCATCATCTCCAGGTTGGCACCATCTCTCTTCCTTTTATTGGGACTGCCGATCAGTTAGCTGACGGTTTTACAAAGGCACTTACAGCGCCCCGCTTTCAGTATCTACTTTCCAAACTCTCGCTATTTGATCCACCTTGAGTTTGAGGGGGGTGTTACAATATCTTTGGGATTCTGTATATATTCTAGGATATTGAAGAATTATTCTTTGTATATTCTCTGGGATTGTTTCCCTAAAATATCTTATAGATTAGGTTTTATTGTACCTATTTATTCTGGGCTTGTGTCTTAATTCAATACATAGCTTTTTCATATTTTCTCTCTATCAGAAACTACTATCCACATTTTGCGTGACTGACATATTGCTACAGAAACGCATATAGCTGTTTGGAGAAAGTTTGTATATTCTATGTATTTTGTACATCTCGTTTTACAATGCTTATATATATATATACACACACACACACACACACAATGAAGAGAGTCAATTCTAACATTCCTCCTAATCAAGAGATAAAAAAGGAAGTGGATTAATTTGGATTCCTATATTATCTCTAATTGACAGCTCATGCCAACACTCCCCCTCAAGTGGGTGAAAATGTATCTTTGATGCCCAACTTGACAAGTGAGCTATGAAAGACCCAGCTTGACATAGCCTTAGTAAGTATGTCCGCCAACTGACCTTCAAACCTGACAAAAGGAAACCAAATCACCTTGGCCTCTAAATTTTGCTTGAGAAAATGTTTGTCAACCTCAATGTACTTGGTTCGATCATGCTGAACTGGATTGTGGGAAATATCAATTGCTGCTTTATTATTACTGAACAATCTCATCTCAGACTTCAGTGGGAAACCAAGTTCTATCATCAACCTCTTAAGCCACAGTAGCTCACACAACCCTTTAGCCACCCCTCGAAACTTCGCCTCAGCACTAGACAATGCTACTACCTTCTCCTTCTGCTTCTGCTTCTTACTCCTCCATGTAACCAAGTTTCCTCCCACAAATGTGAAAAACCCTGACGTAGACCTCCTATCCGAGATGCTACCTACCCAGTCCACATCTATAAATCCCTCCACCTCAAGATGACCGTTCTTCTCAAAGAACAGACCTTTTCTTGGAGCCGACTTCAAGTAACGCAGAATTCGACTCACCGCATTCATATGATCTTTACTTGGGGCATGCATAAATTGACGGACAATGCTTACAGCATATGCGATATCAGGGCAAGTATGTGACAAATAGATCAGTCTCCCCACTAACCTTTGATATCTATCCTTATTGGTCGGCACCTGATTCGGATACTCCGTAAGTCTATGATTATGAACTATAGGGGTGTCAACTGGCTTACACACCAACATTCCAACTTCGGCTAACAAGTCTAGCATATATTTTCTTTGAGACAAAAAAATACCTCCTTTCAATCTAGCCACTTCAATGCCCAAGAAATATCTTAACCCTCCTAGATTTTTCATCTCAAACTCTTCTGCTAGCTTCTCTTGGAGTTTTGAAATCTCTTCACCATCATCTCCTGTGATAATCATATCATCCATATATATGATTAAGGCTATTACCTTTCCTTGACGTCGCCTTGGGAACAACATATGATCCAAATTGCTTTGAGAATACCTATATCTTCTCATTGCTGAGCTAAAGCGACCAAACCAAACACGGGATGATTGCTTTAACTCATAAAATGAACATTCTACCTTGCACACTACGTTGGGTTGAGTGGCACAACAATACCCAGGTGGGACTTCCATGTAGATTTCTTCCTCCAAATTCCCATGAAGAAATGCATTCTTCACATCAAACTGATGCAGAGGCCGGTCCAGATTTACTGCAAGAGACAACAAAACTCTCACAATATTAAGCTTTGCCATGGGGGAAAACGTTTCTTGGTAGTCTACAGCTAAGTCTGTGTATATCCCTTTGCTACCAGCCGCGCCTTGTATCTCTGAATGGAGCCATCTACTTTGTATTTGATAGTAAAAACCCACTTACACCCCACTACTTTCTTCCCCTTTGGTAACTTTACAAGTCTCCAAGTCTTGTTTTTCTGTAATGCTTCCATCTCATCTTTCATTGCCTAAACCCACTTAGGATCCTTCAAAGCCTCTTGCACCCCACCAGGAACTCGGGTTGCATAAACATTTGAGATGAACGCCTTCAATGGTTATGACAATCTCCCTGTCAAAACATAATTTGCGATAGGGTACTTTGATTTTCATTCCTCCACGTCTGGTGAGTACCGACTAGGGGGCTTGCCACGATTGTGCCCATCAGGTAATTTATATCCAACAACCACATCAGAATCATCACAAGAGTCAGGTGTGGTAGGAGATCTTACCTCAGGAGTATCCTCAGGAGAATGGTCGAGTACTGAAGAGGGGACAATTTTAAGAGAGAGCTGTTCTTGAGGCTGTTCGTGTGCACCATGTACCGGTACAAATTGCTGATCACCTTCTGTCAAAAAGTGACTATCCTCATGCGCAACTCCTGCCATTGGCCCTATCACGGCCTGATCCGCTGTAGTTTCTATCGACGACACCACTGCCGGGCCCTGCCGTGAGTCAGACCCAGTCCCAGCCCCTGCCAAAACACCACCCTCCCACCAATTTTCCCTTTCTCGATGTAGCTCCCCCTGAAATGGATAATTTGTGTCAAGGTTGAAGAATTCAGACTCAACAAATGTCACATCCGTAGTGACATGTGTCTTCTTAGTGGTCGGGTCGTAGTCGCGATAGCCCTTCTAATGGGTTCCATAGCCAATAAAAACACATCGCACAGCACAAGGATCAAGCTTGGTTCGTTGGTTCTTGTGAAGATGAACATAAGCTACACATCCGAACACTTTAGGAGGAAGTGTCAAGACCGATGGAAGAGAAACATGTTCTGAAAGAACTGCAGCGGAGTCTGAAATTTTAGCACACAAGAGGGCATCCGATTCATTAAGTGGATTACAGTAACAACGGCAGCATCCCAAAAACGATTGGGAACATGACCACCCACCAAAAGAGCCCACACTGTCTTAAGAATATGGCGGTTCTTCCTTTCTGCGATGCCGTTCTGCTGGGGGGTCTAGGTGCATGACGTCTCATGGATAAGGCGATGTTCTTGAAAGTAAGCTATGAGATATTGATTAACATATTCGCCCCCATTATTAGTACGAAGGACGCGGAGTTGCGCCCCAAATTGTGTTGCAACCATGTGGTGGAACACACAAAATATTTTAGAAACCTCATCCTTGTGCTTCATCAAATACAACCATGTCATCCGTTTACAATCATCCACAATAGTCACAAACCAGCGAATTCCCGAAAGGGTGGTGATGGGTGAAGGACCCCACACATCAGAGTGGACTAATGAAAAAGGTATTGCACTTTTATTGAAACTCAATGGAAAAGAAACACGATGACTCTTTGCCAAGATGCATGTTTCACACTGGAAAACGGAATATGGTAAACTACTGAACAACCCAGGAAATAATTACTTCAAATATCCAAAAGACGGGTGCCCTAATTGACAATGCCATAGCCAAATGTCTTTCTCTTTACTAGTAGATTGACCGCGGGTGTGATTCACTTTGCTAGTGTTAAAATCATCCACGTAATATAGCCCCTCCATCTTAGTACCACGTCCAATAATCTCCTTTGTGAGGATATCTTGAAATAAGCAAAAATTGGGATACATAAGAACACTGTAATTTAATTCATCAGTAATCTACCCAATAGACAGAAACCGGTTAGATAAAGAGGGTACGACCAAAATGTGAGATATGGATAGGGAAGGCGTGAGAACAGCACTTCCAACCCCGGTCACTGGATAGCTATGGCCATTTGCATTATAGATACTTTGTCTACGCGGAATGGTATGGCATGTGAGGTCACCAGAATTGGGTGTCATGTTATTAGTAGCGCCAGAATTAACAATCCATCAACTGCCCTTACTTTGATGAGTATTGACAATAGCACAACCGTATTTACCTTCAAAAGCCGAGACAGAAGTACTGGTGGAGTCTACCTACGAAACCAAGGAGAGAGGTGAGTACCCAGTTGCCTACGACGCCTGTCATTTACCCTTACTCATTCCAGTCTCAGTCTTTTTCTTGGCTTGAAAATCTTTCCACCAATCGAGGTATCCATGTAACTTGAAACAGGTCTCCTTGGTATGTTTAGGATTCCCACAATGGGTGCATCCCTCTACTGGTTGTGGCTTGTGCTCTGAACTTGCGTTGGACCTGCCCCCTCCTGTCGCAACACCCGTGGAGGCCAATTGTAGAGTCTGTAGTTTTGGCTACCCCAAGCAACTGCGAGCCCATCTTCCCCCACGTGATACCATTGCTGCAGCAGTGGGAGCATCTGTGTTAGTCAACATCACAGCTTGACGCACATCCTCCCGCCGGGCCCGTGCGTAAGCTTATTCAGCCATAGGAAACGATTGCTTCTATAAGGCATCTGCTCCGACCTTGTCAAGTCGATCATCAAGACCATCAAGGAATGTGTAGACACAATCTTCTTGGATAGCCGTATTATAGTGCTCGATATCAGAGGGACACACCATGGGGTTAGGACGGCAAAAATCAATTTCCTGCCAGAGTCCTTGAAGATCATTGTAGTATTTTTCGATAGGGCCTCTTGCCTGCTTCAGCCGAGGAACTCGGCTCTTCAAATCATACACCTAGGAGACATCGTTGCCATAAAAAAACGTGGTAGCCACCAAATCCCAAACTACTTTTACCGTTGGGAATTGGATAAAATTACCAATCAACGCCGGATCCATGGAGTTGATTATCCATCCTTTCACCATGGAATCCTCTATTTTCCACTTCCGAAGCCAGGATTGGTCAAATCAGGTTGGGGAAGATCCCCATTAATATATCCCAACTTCTCTTTGCCTGAGATGTACATCTCGACAACTTGGGATCAAAGGCCATAGTTCCTGCCATCTAACTTGATAGCAATAGGTGGGGCCGGTGCCTCAACTTGGGAAGGTGGCGTATGATGCTGGGTTAGAAATTGTTTCATCGTCGTTGTTAGATCTTCAAGGATCGTTGTCACGCCCCGAACCCTCATCGAGCCCGTGGCACCCCTCTTTAGTCGAATCAGTGCGACGTCCCAGGAAACGACGCCAACCTAAATCAAACCATCAAAGATATAAAACACCAGCGAAAGCCACAAACACCCAGACAATATTAACTAGGGGTAAAAGGGAGAATAAACATCTATTACTGATTCAAACTTATATAATATCCACCATATACAATTCACATAATTTACATGCACACCGAGCTTCTAAACTATACACCACCGATATCAAAAAGATCAGTAGCCTGGGTATACCCTATCTCCAAAAATGGAACACTTCAAAAGGCTTACCTAACCCCTAAACTAGCCCCTACGCCCTTGAGATGGTGTCCACTCCGAATCCGACTCCTCAAAACTCGAGTCTGAATCCCTCTGAGCCATCTGCTCCTCTGAGGACTCCGAATCAGCCTCGATCTCAATCGGGTTATCCATATCACCCGACTCTAGTAGAACCTCAACCCGCTCCTCCTCATCAGGCTCCTCTTCCGGCTCCTCCTCTGGCTCATTCTCTGGCTCGTCCTCTAGCTCATCCTCATGTTCTTCTTCTGGTACTTCTTCAGGCTCTTCTTCGGGGTCTTCTTCTCCGGGTTCCTCCTCTGGTATTACACCTAGATCCACATCCATTGGATCATACCTCGCCTGGGATTCTTCCGGCTCCGGATCTGGCGCGGCCATTGAAGGCTCAGGTGCTGCAGGTGCAGGCCGATGTCCGGACTGTGCTAGGCTAGTCTCCAGACTAGTCATCTGTGACGTCCCGACCTCGGGGTCATTAACGTGACGTCCCATTCATTATTATCTTTCATAATACACAAGCGGAAGCATTTCTCGGGATAATCACGTTAAAAACAACAGCAGGATTGAGACAAACATCATCATGAGCAAACCTTATGTTTATAAAACATGCAAACATGTTTTAACAAGCCCTTCGGGCCATGGCAAATAACACATATTTCATAGCCGACTACAAATGGCAAAACTTGACTTGGGTTATTCTATACCCACTACGGCTTCTCGCTACTCGCTTCTTCACCTCCACCCCGGTCCCGTCCGCCTGGCCATCTCACATCCCACCCGTGGCTTTATCCCGGAGCCGACCCGTCCGCACCGCCAAAGCACCATTGAACCTACGCACGGATGAGGCACCAAGTCCGTTAGGCCCTCATCGAATCGTCACAAGCATCGTGATTCGGCGATAGGAACGGTCTTCTCTGACATCTATCGCAGTGAGCACTTCGGCTCGCTGCTCCACGGGATTGCCAACGCGGGCTGGGGGAGATGCCGTCCGTAGTCCATTCGACCATCGTATGTACCTGAGGGTGGGAAAAATGGGGGATGAGTCGGGGAGACTCAGCAAGTGAAAATACTAATATCAAGCGAGGATATATCGATTGCCGTTAACATAAGTCGGCCCTTACTGCACCCGCATCAATGGCAGATCAATAGCAAAGTTCAAACAAGAGAACATCACGCATGGCCACATCGTGCACACCTTACAAACCAAGGCTCGGTTCTATCTCAACACAACATCAAACATGAAACATGATCAAATCGAGAAATGAACCAACTACAACCAACCAAACGACCGAGAAACGGTCCAAGCAAACCACGTCACAACGCATCTCAACATCCTTTCCCGATATTAGGGAATCCACTTACACTTAACGAAACCAGAACTAGAGAGTAGAAAATGGATGGGAAAAGACGACGGCCTCGGGATCTCGGTAACTCACGGTGTCGACCCCATTCTTTTCTTTCCCTTGACTTTCTCTCTCTCGGTTTTCTCTTTCTCTTTTTCTCTCTTGGCCGAATGGCCTCTCTCTCTCTTTCTTTCTCCCTCACGGCTATTCTCTCTCTCTCTTTCTCTTTCTCTCTGGCCGAATGGCCCTCTTCCTATTTATAGAGAGACAAACTTGGGGCCAAAGCTTCGATGAGGTAAGCGCACGTGTCATCGATGAGGTGAGGTAAGCGCGCGTGTCATCCAAGCATTAATAGCCTCTCTCTCTCTCTCCTCAAGCTTGGCCGTGGGTCTCTCTCTCTCTCTCTCCCCTCCTTGCCGTGGCTTCCTCTCCCTTTCTTGGTCAATACTTGATGACCAAGGCTTCAATTAATGGCTTCATAATGGCTTGTGGAAAAATAAGGCCAAGCATTAATGAGAGTAATGATGAAGATGATAAGGTTTGACTTAGTCAAACTTTCTAGGGTTTTCTCCAATCAAAGTAGAAAATATCTCATTTGAAAGCTCGAAACGTGTACTTTAAATCACCAGAAGACACCAAGTCCAAATTCCAACGTTCTCGTATAGAAAATGCCGAATCTTTGAAATCTGACAAAACCGGACAGTTTTGCACTGTTTACGAAATTGGACTTAAAAACATAGTAAATCAACTCCGAAAATTCTCAAATTCGGATATGTCATAAACAAGATCTTAACAAACATTTTTCATGAAGAACACAAAATCTAAATCTCTCTGTAAACACCATTTTCAGTCACTCAAAGACAGACTAAAAACAGTTCTCTGGAACAGCATTCTTGTTTCTCAAAGTAAGCTCTGTCCAG